GTCAAGTACTATCGCAATGAAAATAAATTCTTACGGTTTCACATGAAATTAATTTAAACAAACAAGAGAAATCACAATCATTGCTCTCTATAATATTATGGATTTTATTTTTAGTCTCTATAATTTTTTTTAGTGTTTTCAGTTTTTATAGAGACTGAAAATACTAAAACTACAAGAACCTTGGGAACAAACATAACTCAATCTTACTAAAACTATAAAAATTAAAAATACTGAAAGAAACTACAGAGATTAAAAGTAAAACCTGATAAAATTATAGGGATCGATGATTATGTTTTCCTAATCTCTGAAAAACATGTCCTTACTTCATACAAAGAGGACAAATTGAAACCTAGAGTCCTCCAAGGAAACAGAACCAATTATGTTTGCTCTTCATGCACATACACGTATCACAAGATATTCGATCCCCTAGCTTCCTTCATAGATTGTTTCAAACGTAGTGCGTACCATATCATGTGCTTATTATATAAAGAACCTGACAATGAATTAATTAAGTATAAAACAATAATATCAAACGCAGATTGCAGAAGTCAAATTTACTTACTAGATATCTGATCTGCCACATGCTTGAAGAAAGATAGCTTTATTATATCACGCTAGAGATCGATTCTTGTTGATTGAAACTATTTTAATGAACGAATTTATGTAGACCTTGGCATTCAGCCCTATTTGCGTGAGTTTTGAACTTTTTATTATTTTACTTATACAACTTACTCATTATGTAATAATATATATATATATATATATGCATACACACACAAAATATTTTTTCTGTCATGTGAAAAGTGAAAACATTGATATCTCCATCATTTTCTGCAGTAGTCATCTTTTTATATTTCCTTTTTTAAAAAAATAATTATTTTTTTGATAGGTACATTGTTATCACCCACATGCCTTTTTTTTTTTTTTAAATCAGAAAGTAATAATCAATATTAAAAAACAAGACTTAGATACTTAACCTTTTATATTGAAGATACTTTTATCCGACTACTTAAATTAAGACAAATGAATTTTATTATGTTAATAATATTAATAATGAAGAATTTGTTATAAAATAAATAATTTATAAAATATTCACATATTATGATTTATGAACAAGCACTTTGAATATGCAAGTCTAATTGATACATGAGTTTTTCTCTATTAAAAATATAATCATATTCAATGGCGATCATTCTAGTTTTGAGAAAATTTTGACTACTTGTAGATTCATCATAAAAATCTCACAACTAAGCTAATTATAAAGGTGAGTAGGTTTCATCATAAAGTATGTGCGCAAGCCTTAATTAACTTCATTGTTTAATTTGATTATCTTTTGGGGCACAAAAATGAGGGAAATGGATTTGTACTATATATACTCCTTTGATTATAATTACAAGGCAAAATTTTAAAGTTATATGTTCTGAATATAAGACAAATATAATAGTTAATTATTTTTTCATATTGTTTCTCTTTAATTACACCAAGTTATTGACAAACTTATAATTCACATAGCCACTTTATTATAGTTATTAATTTCAGTAAAAGGTAAAATTAAGAAGTTAAATATTTTGTGTAAGTTTAAGGATATTAATTCTTTAAGAACCATGAAAATGATAGAGAATGATTATATTCTCTAATTCTTTTTTCTCTGTCCAAACAAAGAGTTGGTGTATTTGGATTGAAAAAGTAAGTAGACTAGGAAGGAGTATTTTTAAATATTATCTTGTGACCATTTTTGATATTTAGTATTCAATCTTGTATGGAATATGATTGTTTTCAATAGGAAGATAACCTATAAGTAATAAAAAAACTTTTAAAAATTGTCTCATTATGACACCTTTTCACATCACTGCAAAAACAAAAACAGTAAATTAGCAACGGAATAAATTTCTATTGCTAATTTGTTGCTAATTCATCACTAATTCCATGGCTAAATTAGTGATAAAATTTAGCACCAGAATATTCCATAGCTAACATTCTGTTTTTTTTTGTCACTAATCCGTCAGAAATAATTTACCAACAAAAATTTTCATCACTAATTTTCAAGATATCTTATTCCGATTTAGTGACATGGTAATGATGTTTTGGTTCATCTAAAAATTAGCGACGGAATAAATCCGTTGAAAAATTTGCGACGGATTAGTGACAGAATGCATTCTGTCACAAAGTCAGAATAAGTTATCTTCATTTAGTGACAAAATTTTTTTGTCATGTCACTAACAAATTAGTGACTATGTTTTTATCAATGGGAATATTCCATCACTAACCCATTTAGCGACCAAATTTTCACTTATTAGTGACAGAAAATTCTGTTACTAATGAGCTATTTTTTTGTAGTGTCTATATCCAAGAGTGTTCAAAGTATTTCATAATTTAAATATATGTATATTAATACTTGAACTAACCACCTTATTCATATCATATTATTTAAGATTATCCAAAGTAAAGATGAGAGTGAGCATGAAGAGGAAGAAACTAAAGTCATTATTTGCATGCTATACTCAAGATTGAAGAACATAAAGATGAAGAGAATGATGTCCAAGAAGAGCTTAAGAAGAAGGAAGATTTATACAAATTTAAATGCACCTTGAAAGCCTTGAACTTGATAGGTATAATATCATTAGGCTAAAAATTTTTATGTTAAACTCATTGGTTTAGATATGCAATATTAGCTTAAAATATTTTAAAATCAAAACATGCATCCGAGGATCTTAAGAAAAAGAGTGAGATATAGTTTTCTATAATCATATTTTTCATCTTTGATTATTTATATCTCACAAGGTTTACAATATCTAATTATTAACTCCATAAAGTTTTTAAAATTATTCTACTTACTCAAAATGGATTTTAAGTTGAAAAAGTTATAAACACTTGAAGTCTAAGCTTTGAAATGAGAATTGTGCAAAAAATTAGATTTAAGATCATGTTATTAATCACATCTCTCACTATATAAATCATTTTAATGTGAAACATATCTCATTTGAAAGTAGACTCCATAAGATTTTCAATAATAGTTAGTTTGTTTAAAATAGAGTTCTATTGGGAAAGATATGAATTTTAAAAATTGTATGTTGACATATTGATTTTGCACGGTGTTTAGTTTTGACTTTTGATCACTCTTTTAATTATATCTCAAACATTAGGTTGAATTTAAATGGAAATTTTTTTCATTGAAAACTAGATTTCAAGAGCTTTTCAAAAATATATAATTTGCAAGATTTGGAGTAGCATTGAGCGAGTTATAGCCTTTCAAATTTCTACGAAGATTTTCCTTCCCATACATGAGTGGATGAAAATGTGCCCACACATGAATCAGCCCTGATATGCTTCAATGTCCAATTCATGCATGAATTCTCACTACATCCATGTGTGAATTAGCCTCCATAAACATTTTTTTTCACTTAATAGCTTCTTGATTCATTCCATGCTTGGATTAAGAGGTGCCCCCGCATGTTTAGACTTACAATGAAGCTTGGTGCTTCAAAACACATCATACACGCTTGGATCCTAGGTGATCTACACTTGGATTAGGTGAAGTGATTCTAGGCTTTAAGAGGGATAGCTCATCCAAGCTTGGATCATGACTATCCACACTTGATTGAGAGGTACATATAGCTCATCCAAGCTTGGGGCATGCTAGTCCACGCTTGAATGAGAACTCTAATAACATTAAATGTATTTCACATAAAAAGTGCTTTTTCACCTTTGCTTCACTCCTACTCATTCCCAACAGTTATAAACAGTCATATTTTATCTCTAATGGCTATTTTACTCTATGGGCTATATATATAACACTCAAAACATATATTAACAAGTGAATGAGCCCATAAATCATTGGGCTATGAGATTTAAGTTCTTCGTATTGTTATTATATGAAAAATATTGTTCTTAAGCCAATATCATCTATATCTTCATCTTTTGAATATTAGAGCTTCATTGTACTCATTCTTGCTTTTAGAGAAAGTTTCAATTGAGTGACTTACATATTCAAAATCTTTATAAAGGTGAAAGAGAGATTTCCCTTGTAATCAAGAGAGGTAGTTCTCTTGGAAGAAAAAACTCATTGGTGTAATGAGTGATTGTAACGGCTCAAAAGTGCTCAAATCAAACTTGTAGATTATAGTGGAGAAATCTCAAATGGTTTGCTTGAGAATTGGATGTAGGCTTAAGTGGTAGAGTTAAACCAGAATAAATCATAGTTTACATTCTCTCTTCCCTTAACTCTTTATGTTTCCAACAATTATAGTTTATGCCTTAACTTCCACATAGAAATTGATTTTGCACATATTGACCCTATGAAAATTACTTTAGCATTCTTGCAATTAAAATTTAGAACTTGAATTTGCTCAAACTTTTCCTTACACTTAGTTTTATTAAAAAAGTTTTAAAAGAATTGAAAATTTCATAAACACCCAATTCACCCCTTCTTGAGTGTGTTGCCATATCTAACATAGTAATCATAAGACAAGGACCTACAACATTTGGTCTTAACAAAATCTATGAAGGAACAGCAATTGGATGGTGGCAGGGATGTGGATGGCAACGACAACTGTGAAACATTGCTGCAGGTCATGGTCAGAATTCTAACATGAGAAGAACATGGCTGCACAATTTAGGTCAAACACAATACAATCTCAGTTTAAAGTTGGGGAGAGGCAATTTTAGATTATCATATTATAGTATTGGCGTATTAGTTTCATTAATTAGTCACAATGCAACAAAATAATATCCCTCCCCTCCTTAGCCCCCTTTTTTGCCTCCCCTCCCCTCCATTTTTACAATCCAAACAAGGAGAGGGGAGCAAAATCCCTCCCCTCCCCTTCCCTAAACCAAACAGGGGGCAAAACAATATTGTTACACCTTAATTAGTGCTACTTTATGAAGCTAATTAATATGACTAGTTTGCGTGTGATGATTAAAGGTATCGGACAAATTAAAGGTTCAAGATAATCCAATTTTGACTCTCATTTGAATCCAAGATTTACCGTACAATACTCTAGCTATGTTGAATCATCATTAAGGAATTTGCTAAGCCACTCCAGATTCAGTGATGAGTTCTCTTCGGAGAAATTAAAGAACTCATCCACATCAAAATCAAGCTTTGATGATGAATCTTCTTCTTCATGACCTTCTTCGTTATTTGAATTCTCTTCTTCTTTTGTTCTCTCTTCTTCCTCATCAGCAATATGAACCTTAATTTCTTTTACCATCATCACTTTTTGTTGATCTCCTTCTCTTTCTGGGCACAGACCAGTTTGCTTCTCTCTATGCTTCACCTTCTTGCACAAATGAGAGTTCCAATAATTTTTTATTTCATTATCTGTTCGTCCTGGTAGTCTTCCCGCAATTAAGGACCACCTACGACATTTATCACAAAAAATTACTAGGTTGGGTAAAGATTCTTAAATAATCTTATTATGTTAACTAAAAATTACATACATAGCATGGAGTATTAATTACCTTTAATTTTAGACTTTAAGTGTATATTAAAGCATATGTACTTCCTCCAGACTTTATTATGAGACACTTTCAACAAACCAATTAATAACAATTAATTCATTAAATATGTCTTAAAATTAAAAAAAATTACTTTACCCCTATCAAAACTAGGAAGAGAAATACACAATATATGATAAGTAATAAAATTAAATTTACAACAGGGGTAAATTTTGAAAATGAGAATTTTTAACCTCCATATACCTTATATTAAGGACTAAAAAATCTTGCTAAAAAGTGTCCTATGAACTGGAGAGAGTATATCTCATTTGCGGTATAGAATTAACATATCAAATGTGGCCTACGTTGAGGAGTAGAGGGTGAATGGTGTATGTGAGTATAATTTGATTCTAGAAACCTTCTTAATTTTATAATTAAATCTGTTTCCTTGTATGAGATAATTAATTAACCCAGATTTCATAAAACTTTTTGGTGTTAATATCAATAATTGGTTTCTGAATGTCACGATGAATTCTCGACTAACCCAAATTGAGTTAGCTCAAACTATAACTGTAAAGTATTCCTTATAACAATTTGTTTTCCATACACAGAACTTGAACTTGAACATTTCTTGAAGAAAACAAATGTCCCATCCACCTTAATTAACCAAGTATTGTTAATTAGTTAGTTCATTAATTACTCTTCATCAATAGATGTATTTAGTCTTTTAAGCTATAGTGTGAATAAAAAAAACGTTGGTCATAACAGCACTACGTTTATCAACGCGGGCAATGTTATGAACCCAACCCGCCCCCCCCCCCCCAAAAAAAAATAGTCATTCTATTAATATCAACATATCAATTACAAACACAAGTAGCCAAAGCCAAACAATGCACTAAAAAAAAAATCTGTTAATGTACATTTGAAAGACTAAATTATATAAAAGAATGACTCCAAATAAATTGTACGTATTTTCTCAGATTATGATTTTGATGCCCAAAAAAAAAAAGGATCTTTGATGCAAAAACCTGTTTCCAAGGAGTTTATGAAGGCGAATTATCAAATCCTCTTCCTCATCTGATATGTTCCCTCTCTTGATATCAGGCCTCAGATAATTCAACCACCTTTGCCTGCAACTCCTGCAACTCCTATTAACACCTGTACAAACCAAATCTCTAATAAGCTTTATATATAAATCGTTCGGGTGTATTCCGCCTCTTAATTTTAGAACGTTTTTTCTAATGAAACTAATCTGATATGGGAACAGGGTTTGGAGCTTCCAATGTGCCTTCCTTTAATGTCATTTGCACGTGATGCCTCACCTTCCTGATCGATTTCATTTTCCCTTTTCCTTTATACCAATAGCTTATACATAACATAAGAGAGATTCTAATATCTTGAAGTCTGGAAACAATAGAGTTTTATAATTTTCAGGATTTGAAAAAAAAAATCAAATTTTATGGTATTTTTCTTTGAAAAATCAAAAAAAAAACTTTTCTGAAATTTCAAGATATGAAGGTTTCTTAATTCATTTAAAAGTCAATGATTCAAAGAAAAAGCAAAAACGAAATTAGGAATGATATTTGCGGTCCCAAACCCTAATATTGAGCATCCCATAAGCTTTTTTTATGGCACAGAGAGAGAGAGAGAGAGAGAGAATGAGATATACACACACACACACATACACACCTGCTTTAGCAGCAACGAAGTTCCACCTTTGAGGTCCATGAAGTGCAATAGCCTGAGCTAGTTTTGAATCTTCTTGTTGAGTCCAAGCTCCCTTGCGGATAGGCAAATTTGTAGTGTCAGCTTCGAATTGCTTCTTCACTTTTCTCTGTATACAAACATGGGACCTACAACAAGCCATCATTAACTTCTGCTTAACACCTTTTAGATCCAAAGTAAGATACTGAAAGAGACGACACAGATTTAATTTGCTGTGTTTTACATTACACAGATTCTTCGGTGGATTCATAAAAAGAGAACTTCCATGTAATGCCCTGTAATTATATATATTAACATTAACAACAACTTACCAAGTGCATGTGCACCCCAAAAACAGATCGACTTGCTTCTTCACGAGATTGACCATTCAAAACCTAGATTCCCACATGTTTAATTACTTTAATTTTTTATTTTTTATTTAAAGAATTAATGTCTCTTATCACTATATTATAGCCTAAGTGGCTCCTATATTGTACATATATTCTATTACAAAACAGATGGCTGTTAAAGAGAGATGCTTGATTTAACTAGTTGAGAGAATTGAATTAGCATATCTTGAGGCATTGAGTTCGAATCATGAGATATGCAATCGCATTAAACAAAAAATGCCAAAAACATCCCTTATTTGGTAAAAACAATCGGATTAGTTTTTGGGTGGGAGGAGGGAGGTGGTATGATACCCCAAATTTCCCAATAGCGTTGGTCCTAGCGGGGAGCTACTATTAATTGCCCTTGACATTGCTTAAATTTGATTCAATCAGATAGCCATATTAAAAGAATACCAATAAAAGCTTAGGCAAGCAATTATTAAATAATTAAAGAATTATTGTCTCTCACTATACTGCCCAAAAACAGGCTTGCTTCTTCACGAGATTGATGATTAAAACCCTAGCTTCCCACATGTTTAATTACTTTCTATTTTTTTCTGTAAACAATTAAAGAATTGATGTCTGTCACTATGTTACAACTTCATAAGTGGCTGCTATCGTTCATATATTCTATTATAAAATAGATGCCACTATTAAGTGACACTTGATTCAACTGATTTTCGAGTTTGAGTCATGAAATATATAGCCACATTAAATAAAAAATGTTGAATATTCATACCTAATTTGGTAAAAACAATCCTACACTTTAGGAGTTTGGATTAATTGGGAGGGAGGTGATAATGCCCCTGATTTGCCAAGATGCATTGGTCCAGTGGAGAGCTACTATCAATTATGCTTGACAATGTTCAAATTTGATCCAATCCGGTAGTCATATTAAAAAAGACTGATAAAAGCTTAGGCGAACAAATGTTAAATGTGCGAATGTCTATAAATAAATAGGTTTATTAAACCTCATGCACTTGGTAATAGAGTGACGAAATAACCGAGGTTATCTTTTGTCATATCTGTTGTCATGAGGCAGATATATTGTTTAGAACAGCTTGGATAGTCTGCCCTATTTGTTTTAATTGATTCTTTATAAAAGAAAAATTCAATTTCGTCTTTTGGTAAAAAGAAAAATAAAAGAAAATTTTAAAACAAAGGTGCTATTTCTTAACGGGAAAATTCAGTGAATGATTAGCAAAAAGCTGCCAGTAATTAATTTTTGAATTTGTGTAGTAATGTATATGTATTATATACATATATATATATATATATATATATAATTCTTAATAAGAATTTAAGTATAGCTATGAATCGCTATATAACTTATTAGTATTTAGTTCATGGCTTTGCCCAAATTAAAGCGATTTTGAAAACCAAATTATGGGACACGTTTGCCATATATAATTAAGCTGAGTCGAAACAGTGCTGTAACTAAACTAATGTTATGACCCAATAAAAAAAAGGAAAAATATACTTACAAGTCCTTATAGTTTGACTCGATTTTAAATTAGATCCTTACAATTTATTTTGTTTTAATCAAACCTTTATAGTTTCATCTATTATATATATACTCACCCCTAAAGGTTAAAATTAACAATGAATATTATATTTTACAAAACAAAAATACACTTGGAGTTTCAAGAAATTTAATTTAATACTTTTAGCCAAAATTGGAAAAGGAAAATTTGATTTAATCCACTGTTTATATTTTTATTATAATTTTTTATGAAAATTTTACATATATAAAAATATTTAGAAGACAACTTAACTATATAAATTTTAAGTTATAAAAATTATGTAATTAATTTTAAAGTCATACAATCATTTAATAAAAATATAAAAGTTCTTAATTTTGTTTTTTAAAGGAAAAATATAAGGATTTTAACTTTTAGGGATTAAAAATTTTAATTCATTAAACTATATGGACTCAATTAAAACAAAATAAATTGTAGGGACCTAATTTAAAATTAAGTGAAACTGTAAGGACCTGCATAACTCCGCCTATGTTTATAGCCGGTCCCAAGCCCGGGTAAAGGAGGAGGGTTGTGTTAGGCCATCAACAACCAATGTAAAAATTTGTTGAATCTATCATGAACATGGACAATAGACCTTATAATGTTAATGTTAGGTCGTTGCCCGTAAGTAACGCGCTGCATGGCCCGAGTACAGTGATAAGTGAGTTAGAGCCGCTGCATCGGCGCCCGGATGTAGTGTTAAATGAGCAAGGGCTATCGCGTCATTCTGGACGCACGCGGCTAAAGAAGTTAGTCCATAAGAGCAAAATTAGATTTGGTACTTGGAATGTTGGGACATTAAATTGTAAATCTGTAGAGGTTGTAGGGGTTATGATTCAAAGGAAAATCAATATCCTTTGCTTGCAAGAAACAAAATGGCGTGGAGAAGAAGCTAAGGATATTCAAGGTTTCAAACTTTGGTATACAGGAAAAGTAAGTGCACGCAATGGAGTAGGCATCATTATAGATAAGGAGTGGAAGAAGAACGTTGTAGAAGTTAGCAGAATTGGAGACAGAATTATTTCTTTAAAAATGATAATTGGACGTGAGACTGTTAATATTGTTAGCGCTTATGCGCTGCAAGTCGGGACAGAAGCCAGTCTTAAGGAATTATTTTGGGAGGATCTGGAGGGGTTGATTCGACACATACCACAGAGTGAAAAGATTTTTATTGGAGGAGACTTTAATGGGCATGTCGGGAGGGAAGCTGGTCAGTATGCGAGGGTGCATGGTGGTTTTGGTTTTGGAGAGCTAAACAATGAAGGACAAACTCTTCTTGATTTCTCATTGGCGTATGATTTTAAGATTGCCAACACTTGTTTCAAGAAGAGAGATGAGCATCTCATCACTTACAAAAGTGGAGCCTCAAGGTCACAGATTGATTTTCTTTTGGTTAGGAACACTGATAGAAAACTTTGTAAAAATTGTAAGGTGATCCCCGAGATGCTGTAACGACACAACATAGGGTCCTAGTCCTTGATGTGTGTATTATGAGTAAAATCCAAAAACGTCGACAAGTAGTAACACCAAGGATTAGGTGGTGGCAATTAAAAGGTAAGAAGCAAGATATTTTCAAGCGAAATCTTTTGGATAAAGGAATTTGGGATTCTCAGGGAAGTGCTAACATCATATGGGAGGATATAGCTAAAAAGATACGGGAGGTTGCAAAAGTAGTTTTGGGAGAATCGAAAGGTTCTGGTCCGAGAGATAAGGAGTCTTGGTGGTGGAATAATAGTGTACAGGACAAAATCAAGTATAAGAAGAATTGTTTTAAAGCCATACATTTGTGTAACAATGAGGAAAATTGGGAGAGGTACCGTATGGCTAAGAAGGAAACTAAGAGAGCTGTGGGTGAAGCTCGTTCTAAAGCTTTTGAAGAATTTTATAAGAACCTTGAGACGAAGGAAGGAGAGCAAAATATTTATAAGATTGCCAAGAGTAGGGAAAGAAAATCAAGAGATCTAGAACAGGTAAGGTGTATTAAGGATGAAGAGGGAAGAATTTTAGTTACAGATGATGAAATTAAAAATAGATGGGAGACTTATTTTTCTAAACTTTTCAATGATGGAGAGGATTCATCTAGTAACTTGGAGGATTTAGTAACTGGTGAAGGAGAACAAAATTTGTCATTCTATCGAATAATACGTGATAAGGAGGTAAAGGAAGCTCTTAAGAAAATGGCAAATGGTAGAGCCAACGGACCTGATTGTATATCTATCGAAGCGTGGAAATGTTTAGGTGAAGAAGGGGTGAGATGGTTAACTAGGTTATTTAATGTGATTTTACGGTCCAAGAAAATGCCTGATGAGTGGAGGAGAAGTACATTAATTCCTATTTATAAAAATAAAGGAGATATTCAGAATTGTACTAACTATAGAGGGATTAAACTCATGAGCCACACAATGAAATTGTGGGAGAAAGTAATTGAGCACAGGTTGAGATTGGAGACAAGTATTTCTGAGAATCAATTTGGTTTTATGCCAGGTAGATCAACTACAGAGGCGATTTATCTACTAAGGGGATTAATGAAAAGTATCGTTGTAAAGATAAAGATCTACACATGGTTTTTATTGATTTGGAAAAAGCTTATGACCGTATACCAAGAGAAGTGCTTTGGAAAGCGTTGGAAAAAAGGGAGTACGGATTGCTTATATTAAAGCCATACAAGATATGTATGAGGGGGTAAAAACTAGTATAAGAACGCCTAGTAGTCAAACAAAGGATTTTCCTATAAAGATTGGACTACATCAGGGATCATCTCTGAGTCCTTATTTGTTCAACTTGATTTTAAATGTTTTGACGGAACATATTCAAGAGGAAATCCCGAAATGTATGCTCTTCGCGGATGATATAGTTCTTATAGCAGAGACAAGAGAAGAGGTTAATTGCAAACTTGAGTTATGGAGGAGGACATTGGAGTCGAAAGGTTTTCGTCTGAGTAGAAGTAAGACGGAATATTTATATTGTAAATTTGGTAAAGGACTATTCGAAAATAATTTGGAAGTGAAATTGGGAGATCAAATTATACCTCAAGTGGAAAAGTTTAGATATTTGGGAGCCATTATTCAAAATGATGGCGAAATCAGTGGAGATATTTCACATAGAATTCAAGCTGGGTGGTTTAATTGGAGAAAAGCTAAAGGAGTTATTTGTGACCATAAGGTGCCTAATAAACTTAAAGGAAAGTTTTATCGCACTGCTATCAGACCGGCAATGTTATATAGTAGTGAATGCTGGGCTCTAACGGGACAGCA